ATTTTCTTCTTCGCCAACTAAACCCTGCCTATCAAGTATGCAAATTATGTAGGTGGGAGGCTTGATTTTATCCAGGGCTTTTTGGTATTGATTTGTACCATACAATTCCTCCCTAGTTTTCACAGGTTTTTATGCCAGCTGCAGCCGACCAGATCGAAGAAGCTTGATGGACTAGAAATACTAATTTAGCAGCAACGCCTCCTCGTATGGTAAAAACGGCCGTTCCTTGAAAATGACAAAAAGGATATATTAACTGTTATATTCATCCGACAGGATGCGTCTTTTATATACTTCTTATTCACAGCCAACTTCGTTTATATATATGTTCCGTCCCAGTCACGAGTATATCACATTGGCCAACAGGCCGGCCCATTGCCCAACTAGCCGTCCTGTTGACAAATCTTGCCTATGGACCAATGCTTCCTGAGATTGACAAACGGTCACTGATCTTCTGTCCAGATGGCCAATTCCTACCAGAATTTGACCAAACTCGACTAATTGACTCCCAAACCCCATCGCCTAACAACTAAGAAACTCAAGGGACACATTCTACCTACATGACGTATATGCCCTTGCCCCTGATATACCACTGCCCTGGGGCTATAGCTACATAAGTAATGCAAATAAATATTTCTTTAGCAAATAGCTAATTAACCAGGGCCAATGGCTTTCCGCGGGAAAAGCTGAGAACTATATAGCAGAATGGCCTGTAAGCGAAAAATAAGAGCTTGTTCACCAATTATGGTCCATTGGCCAATAATGAGCATTTGTGACTGGGACGGAACATATATTACATGAGAAAATTTAGAACTCATAACACTATGTAATCATCAGTTCTCACTCGATACCCATTCTGCCGGGAATGCCAGATCCATGGAACTGAAGTAAGTACCCCCCGCCGAAAAAGGGTTTCCTTTTCTATCATTACTCAGCACACTCGGTCTGTCTGAGGGATCTCGGTTCATGATCACCGGTTTCTCATGCGTAAAAAGGAGCAATGTGTGCTATTAATGGTGGAGCGTCGCCATCATCAAATTTATAAAGCTTGAGAGCCCGTCCATAAATCTTTAAGTGCGGCATTGATTTGTTCTCCTTCATGCGTACACCTCAAGTATGAATAGGTTCTAGCGCATTTCAAGTAATGAATTCTTCCTAGGTTAATTCAAAGTTTTCGAGCATGCGAATTAGAGTTGAGTGGGGAATGTGTCTGAAACTCCGCAAACCTGGTTGAAGTAAGCTAGCGAAATCGGGCACTCTGTATTTCTCCTGTATATATCATGGTCAACTATAGTTTAAATTGCCAGGACGAGTGGAAGTTAGCAAAGAACGGCTACGTACTGATTGGTACAAACAGGAGAGGGAAGAACAGAGCCTATGGGGACAGCTTTAAAGAGAAGAAGCTGGGTTGACTGATTATGTCTGTCTTTTAACCTACTAAGATTATAAGTACAAGAAAGAGATTCCCTGGCCTTCTCTATTCACCACCAATCTCCTCTTCCAGAATATTGATATTCTGCTTGAGCAATCAATACATGACTGCCACCAATACGGTACCGGCTGGTATACCAGTAACGCGAGCACTTAGTTATGATATACGAGGGTTACCTTAGATCTTACCTATACCAGGCGGGCGACCACTCGTGTTACTATGATTGCCTAGCCTTTTTTTTTAGCCCCTTTCTATATCTACTGTATACTAATTACTTACTTAAATGTAACACTGCGAGACGATAACACTGCGGCAAAATGAGTGAAAATTATATACTTTATGTAGCTCCGTCTTTAAAGACGTTTTACGGTTTGAATTCAACCAAACTCTAACGACCTACTTCACTGAACTCCCCGCAAGAATAATCGCCTAGCCTATAATTATATTTTCCCTTGTCTTCAAGATTTGGGCAGGGAATGGAGGAGTGGGTGAGGCAGGAAGAAAAGAAGCAAAGAAGAAAACCCATAGTTTACAAAAAGCATATCAAGGTGTGAGGCGTCATGACCTACTGTCAAAGATAGTCTAAATCATCCTATTAACGTTCAATTTTCACTACCACCATTGCACGTTCCCGCACCCGACGTCTACCCTTCGTCTTCGCTAGGTTATCCTCCAATGCAGGAACGAATCGGCGGTATGCCGGGGGCTCGTCTTTCACAGGGATTGGAGGCGGACGAGGCATGTTCGGGTCAGGAGGGGGGAGAGGTGTATGCTTTTTCGGTTTGATGACGAGAAGAATAATCATGCCGACTACTAAGAGCAGTAAAAGCAATATTGCTTTTCGTTTAGTTGTTCTGCGCTGATAACCAGAGGCCTGTTGTGCATTTATGAGTTCTACAGATCTCTGATGACCAAAATGTAGACAGGAAACAAACCACTGTCATTTCTTTGTCTGCCGCTTTAATATGTACGCTCATCTGTTCGACATTGTAGTCTATCCTGTCAAGTAATGTACCTTGATCTATTACCATGGTCTGCAACTCCTTAAATATATCGGCGAGCTCTATAATCCCTTTTGCTATGTCCGTGATCTCTCGCTCCCGTTGCATGATAGCAGCATCGTTCGAGGTCAGTGTAGCTGACTGCTGCAGCGCTGACTGCGAGAATGAGATATCTGCGGAAGGATCCGAGTCTTGGTAAAGTTGAGATGGTGAACCAGCGCGATCCAGTGGCGTCGTCATTCCGGAGAGGCCGCGGAGTTCTTAGATTTTAAAATTAGTACTCCTCTTCTATTTCCTGACATTCCCGACATCCCGGCGTGCAAATGGAAACATACTTTTAAGATAAGCTGATTGCTTCTTTCTAAATGACGTGCTTGCTTCTTGGACCTTGGTCGCTAGATTTATCTGAATATTCTTACTCATGGCCTCTTCTGCTCTGGACACCTCGCCGGCCGCACTGTTCACCATGACTTGCACTTTGCGTATCTTATTTTGACACTGGTGAAATGCGCTCGTGATTTCCGTTGTCAGCCTTTCAATTTCCCCCTCTTCCGCTGATCGATTGTCATCGAATCCAGGAAGAACGTGTTTTTGGTGCAGCTTGTCCAGCTTGGCAGACTTGCGTGCTATATCCACCAAAATTTCGTTGACGTCGTCGGAAACATCGGCCCACCGTGGGGGGAGTAAATCCATCTCAATGATTGTGTCTCCATTATTGGAGAATGTGTCTTCAGCGTCATTAGATGAGATGAGACCACGACGCTCTTCGTCCGTGTGGAAGCTGGGGGAGAATGCACCCGCAGAGGGGCCGAAACGAGGACGTTTAGCTGGATGGTGGGAGTAAGACTGGCGATAGGAGATGTATCTTTGGTAGAGTAGGTAGTTAGATAATAAGTGGAGTAAAAAGACACGAAACTCATCTCACAGGTTGGTTCTATCCCGCCACATTGGCTTGTAGGTGCGCCAGTGGTGATATTTAGGTTAACACAAGACAGAGGGTTCTGTCAACTGCTATTTCAGGAGGGTGGTGGGTTTAGGAAAGTTGCGATGACGATGCTATGTATCTACGGCCGGGTTTTGGTCTGCAGGTATGGAAAGTGCAACACCTCTTTAAAGGCAGTTACGATGAATACAGCTGTAGGCGAGGGTCCTTCCTTGCTTGCCTCTAGGGGATTTGTTGTTTGGTTCTAGCAGGAAGTTTGCGGGGGGTTAACAATTGAAGTCTACTCTATTCGTGGATCTTCTTAGTGTGGGAAGAGTGAAAGAGGCTCAGCTGGGATCCATTAGGGCGTTGGTATCTTGGTATCTACTACATACATGTACTCATGCGTCTTCGCCAAGAATTCGCACCTGACTTAATCTTCGATTAGTCAAGAGCCTTGCACTCAAGTTATCGTTCCCGGCATCGTACACCAATATGAGCTTAAATATATGGGTACATGTATGATAGGGCTAGGTACTAAAAATACGTACATAATTTACTCTCCTCGTACGTAACCATGTAACCCGTTTTAGTTGAATCGAGAGTGGTATGTACAGCTACATGTATTGGGTACAATTGGAATGTAAAGCTATAGAACGGCTAAACGTATCTTGACCTAGTGATCAAGATGCATTTAAAACATGTACACTTATACGTACACAACTAGATACATGTAGTATGATTAGAAGTAGCCCGGTTCTGTTAAAGCAGAGAGGAGGAGTAGGAGAATCATCCAATATGTAGAGCCGATCAAGATAACTTTTGTCGTAGTGGTTGAGAGGTTATTAATGCCTGGGTCTGAAATCGCATATAGTTAAATCATATGTTTCCATGTATAACGTACCTTTGTAGTTTAAATATACCACTGAGTTAGAACAGTCTTTACCGGTATTAGAGTACTGGCATGCCAGCATCTATTAGTCTCAATGTCATATCAGTTCCATTCCGCTTTCTACAACTACAAAAACTAGAAGCCTAACATATGGATCTACATGTATCCACGTTGTGTAGATATATACTCATTTACAAATATAGCCTTGTAATTTCAATACAGCAGAAACCAGCAAAGCCGTGCGAGTAGCTATATTTATGTAGTCATGAGTTTACTAGCCTGCACCCACTCAAATTTCGTCAGGAGTCAATACTACATGTAGGTACATGTAGTTTTCGGAAAGATTACCACTACTACATGTACATACTGCATTTACATTTACTTGCGGTTATACATGTACATACAGCGGAGCCACGATACATGAAGTCGCATGTTTACGTGGATAGTAGCATATTCTGGATCTATAGGTTGCGTATCTAGATCTTTGGTCAACTACAAAACACAGGAATATGGCAGACTGGTGTTCGATGCAAGTAGGTATGCATGTGTAGTCCTCAATAGTAAATTAAGTGGCTACATGTATTGAGGCTTCACTTTAGCACTACATAGAGTATTTCTGTTTATCTGCTCTAGGACCTCTCTTGCTTGGCATACTGCAAGCGTCTGCCTAAAAATCACCTTGCGTCTTGGCATGCTAATGTGAAGTTGGTGTAACTATAGTTGGGCTGGTTCCTCACTAAACTAAGACTATTTAGTATGCTGAGCTCTATGCTCACCAATGGAGGTCAGCAGCATGGGTTCCAGAAAGGGGAGCGCGGGGCACCATGCTTCAGCCCTGAAAGAGTTCTTGGCACTTCCTTCCCCCTCTTCCCCTCCACAAGCCAGCTCTTAGTTTGTCTCCTGTTTCTTCAACTCCTCTTCTCCTCCCGCACCCTCTTCATCACAAAGAGACTTCCATCAACCATCCACGCCTTCACGAATCTTTCACCCCCACAATTTCATCACCACGAGCATAATCCAATATGGTATGTCCTCAGCTTTCCTTGGCCTGGGCACTGCATGGCTGTAGCTGCCCCGCCTTTCGTTCACAACATCACTTGCTCTAGTAAAGAAATATTAAAGCTGATAATGGTGTATCATAATAGGCCGATTCACTTTCTGAAGACCAGGTCTCCGAGTTCAAGGAAGCGTTCTCCTTGTTTGTAAGTTCCATCTCCGATTTTATCCCTAATCTAAGTATCACGTCAGTAGTACTTTTTACTCTTGAGAATTTACTAACTTAACTGTTAATGTGCAGGACAAAGATGGTGATGGTTAGTAATCTATAGATACTCACATGTCTACCTTTGCAAAGCATGCGGTGCTTGTGACGGATGCGAATAGCTCCGATAAAGCTTCTGATGATCGATATCCCGCCGAGAAACAGGGCTAATTGGGGGTTCAACTTGGCAGGCCAAATCACCACTAAGGAGTTAGGAACCGTCATGAGAAGCTTAGGACAGAACCCTTCCGAGTCTGAACTCCAGGACATGATCAATGAGGTTGATGCCGACAACAATGGAACTATCGATTTTCCTGGTAATTTGTCTCACTGACCACAACTAGCTGGCACATGTCCTAATATTATGAATCTAGAATTCTTGACCATGATGGCTCGTAAGATGAAGGACACAGACAGTGAAGAGGAAATTAGAGGTATGAATTTCTCAGTCCAACCCTAAGAGATATAACTGACTTGTTCCTTTCTTTAAAGAGGCCTTCAAAGTCTTTGACCGTGACAACAACGGATTCATTTCTGCCGCCGAACTAAGACACGTAATGACTTCCATTGGGGAGAAGCTCACCGACGATGAGGTCGATGAGATGATCAGGGAAGCAGATCAAGACGGTGATGGAAGAATCGATTGTATGTCCAAACTATTCCTCCCTCCCAGCTCAGCCCACTGATACTAATACAATCATTGCAGACAACGAATTTGTACAGCTTATGATGCAGAAATAAACTGAACATGCACGCGGAAGGAAACAGTTGTAATCATCTGGGCTGCACAACCAGGCTAAAACCACAGGAATAATTTAGGAAATTGAGAGTTGGAATACTCGTACAATGAATCGTCTTTAATTTTTCTCTCATATCTTTTATCCCAACATGCACTTTGAAAGAGCCCTAGAGTACCGATCAGTGCCTCCGTAACGCCGTTTTGAAGGGTTATTTCCAACATGGAGTATTCCTTTTACTTCTTTTTAACTTATTGCCTCGATTTTCTCTTTGTGCCCGTTACATATTGTTTTTGTCTATTGATCGGCTCTTGATTTTACTTCACTTTTAGCATTATTGATTTTTCCAGAACGTCCGTTGTACCTACACTCTCACTTTTCATAATAAAGCAAGATCTCCATGGAGCATAAACTTAAGCTATGTGAAGAAAAAATCTAAATGAAAACCGATGATATATATGACCCATCCATGCGCCAAAAGGCATTACCGGTTCTTGATAATCAAAAGTTGTAGCAATCATTTCAGTTCTCTAGATGGGAGGTCCGTCTACCAGAGTCTCTGAGAAAGAAATTAAAGAAAGAAAATACAATTATATTATACAGATGAATCTCTTGGGTACCATTTGTCTCGATTTCACCTAGAACCCCATCCAGCCATTGTTCTTCCTCTTATCCCTATACCTGCTGCAATAACTCCAATCTCCTCCATCCTCATCTTCCCTGCCTCAAACACCTCCTTCACCAGGGCCATGACTACCTTGTAATCACCTCGACATATTTCCCACCGCTGCTTATCTACGCAATCCCAGGTATTCTCGATAACGCGAAGCTCTAGATCCATCTTCTGAACTCCCTCCTGAGCTTGAACACATAATCTCCGGAGATCACTTTCAAATGATTGGAGCGAACGACGAGTATTTGAAGGAGGTTGATCCGAGGATGTCAGCAAAGATAATAAGCAGCGTAATATGTTTGTGACCGTTGGTATATGATCCTGAATCACTTTTTCGAGGGCGAGGTGGGTTGCGTTTCCAGCAGGATGACGAGGAACCGGTTGTACCGACCGAGATCGCGAGCAAGAAGCAGGCATTTTTTTTCCCTTTGCTTTTTCCCAGTATTTTTGTTCAGCCGATAGGTCGATTGATCGGACCGTTGGTTTCAGCGTGTGGATGCAATTTACTCGGATGAGAGTGAGAAACGTAGAAGTTTTAGACAGTTCTCCGACGTTGCAACACAAAACACGAAAGTTGAATTATTTCGGTCGCTTTGGTGAGAACTTAGGTATGTTGGAAGTTTACAATGGAAGTAAAACCAGAGGTAGATTTAGAGAGGCTGTTGTACGCTCAGTTTTTAATGATCAAAAACAAATTCGAAATCTTGCAGGGCAAAAACTGAAATAAGTAGCCACGGATGATAGTAGGAAGAGTCTTATAATTATCAGATCACCAGCGACGACATGACCAAACCCCCCTTCTGTTTCATCTGTCACTGTGTCTTCGATCCGCGATCTTGATCACCGAGCGGTCTGATGTGCTAGCATGTCAATCAATGCAAGCACCTAACAAATAATGTAAAAACACCCAGGTGCCGCAGAGGAGAATGAACATATCTATACAGGTAGAGCACCATGAGGGGGAGGTAGGGTCATAAATCCAGTAGAAACCGTGCATTTGACTGGTTTCATATCCACATTGATCGGTGCCTGGTGAACTTGTCACTTATTTGGCAAGCCTTACCACAAAATGTATTGCGGCGATGAACGAAATGACCGATTCTCCCTGATCAGGCCGATTCGGCCGTTGGCAAAAGAAGCGGTGGGATGGAAAAGCCTTTCACGTTTCTTATGAGTTAAGAGAGATTATCTATCTATCCGTCTGCGTGGCAGCCCAGGTATTGTGCTTGTTCCGGCGCATATTAACCCCAGGATCTCATAAGCCTTATCTATTACTGGACTTCAATATTCGCAAAAGTCTTATCACACACAGCAGGTCAAGATCGATTCGGTCGGTTGAAATAATGATCACGTAGACCCTGCGTCGCGCTTACTCTAAGATATGGTATGAGTAGTAAGTAGCAGTGCCATCGAGCTAGAAAGCTCATCATCAGCAAGAGGTCGGCAAAGAAGGATGCATTCTTCACGACCTTGATATTATGCGAAGCCATAACTCTCATAAGCAGTGTAGAACACCAAATCGAGCGAGGTTAGCGAACATAAGATAAACGCTGGGTATGTTAACTGCGCAGGAATATCACTACATGTACCGGGTGTAGCGAAAAGTGATCAGAATCTGATAAGACAAATACACGTATTCACCGCAGCATTCACTTATCAGATTCTGTGATAAGACAAATACACGTATTCACCGCAGCATTCACTTATCAGATTCTGATCACTTACCCTCAACACCCTAGTACCTCAATGAGATTTCGGCCACCAGTAGTCCGCCTGCAGTCAACAACCGTATGCCTCTGCCAAGCCAGCCCGTCCAAACAGGGGACGGAGTACGAGACTAAGTATGTACAGAGGATGGTAAAATTATTGCGAAAACAGGGGTTTAACGAGTGCTGTGGGGCCGGAAGGTGGCGAGTGCTGTGATTGGTGGGTAGAGGACCTCAATGGTTTATGGAGTGAAAATTTTTTTTGTCGTGTTATAGTATATAGAATAATAATAGAGGTTTAAAAAGCAATCAGTTCACCTATGTCTTCTTGCCTGTATTGATTCCCTCAGCTGATCGCTATGGTATTTATTCGTACAGAGGATGTCAGCTACAGAAAGAGATGTTATATCCAAGCTCTTCGGCATGCAGGTTGGACATTTCAACGGATTGCTAATGATCATTTACTAATTATATACAGAATATCTGAAATCAATTTGGAATGCTGTCTCTTAATTGGCCTGCCTCATCTCCTAATCTCAATCCAATTGAGAATATCTGGAGTATTCTCAAAATGCGCCTGCATGATAGAAGACCGAGACCTAGAGGAAGAGCAGAGATTAGAGAGGCAATACTTGACGAATGGGATCTTATTACTGAGGAGGACATCATCAGATGTATCAACAATATGCCAGAGCGGATAGAGGCAGTCATTGCTGCCAATAGGGGTCATACCAGGTGGTAACTTGAAGGTAGGTGTTTATCGTCTGGAACAGGTGTTCGTCGCTAGAACAAGGCCGAGTGATCGTTGGTGCAGGCGTTCGTTGGAATAACTGGGTGTTCGTTGCTAGAACTCTTGTTAGATACTGTACTGTAGAAAATTCACCACTCGCCACTCAGAATTTGATACTCGTTGGGCTTTTTTTAGCGCACTCGCTTACCCATATTTTCGCAATAATTTTACCACCTTCTGTAGTATCCAGGACCAGGACCAGGACTACAAAATGGCCAAAATGAGTTTAGTATAAATATTGTGATGTGTATAAGAAATGAAAATATGAGCTCAAGTTGTCGGCTGCTCCTGTGTTTTGATTCGTCTCTCCAGGTTTAGAAACGAAGCAGAGACATGATGATGTTCAATTCTCTTAGAAGCAGACTAGTTGTGACAGGGGATATATTTGTTAATTTATTTGTTTATAATTCATAAGGCTTGCACCCAAACCAGGGTATGGTATACAAAGAAAAAAACTATAACGGCAACTATGGATTTGTAACGGGGGTCCTTTCTAAGAGAAATAGAATCGGATAGAATAGAGACGGCCGTGCAAGATAGACAATCAGGTTGCAGATTATTCAAAGATACTATCGCTAGAACTCAATAATCTTTAAGGGCTCTGCTACCGATAAGAACTTGGTTTTTCTTCCTGATCAAGACTGGAGAGAATCGGACTGAAGGGCGAGAATGAACCTGAGTACTTATACTCCAAAGGCCTCTGTTCTCTGCTCCTAACTCCTTTACTAAGTTCCGGTGGGCCTTCCCTCAGTACCGGAAACAATACCACCGCTACCCCGCTTTTTCTCTAAGCGTCAGCAGGTGTTTTCCGATACCCAAGGCAACCACCCTTAGTCAAAGCCTTTGTAACACCTGCAGCCTTGGTTGCCACACAACCGGAGCCTGCATGAATGAGCTGCCGCTCAGGTGTAAGCTTAATGATTGCTGTAGAGCTTTCGCTTATTGTAGACTTCCCTAGCATAGCCCCTGCCTCTTTGGCGGACATACAATGCTCAGAGGATACAGAGGATCACCGGGCAATCAGAGCTTCACTCTGGCCGGTCTTCTAGTCACTGGCGAGGCATAGACTCGTCAGTCATTGCTCCCGTGAATAGATCCCCTTCCTAGCGCCCGGAATGTAGTTACTCTAACAGCTGGTAGCTAACCACACTGCCGGTACTTGCATATCACCGTGCTACTGGCTTCTAACAATAACTCTCAGCATGTAACCGGGCCCTGTGTGTACTCATACACCAGACAGTTGAAATTGCTCCGTTACACCACTCCCCTCTTCCAGGATCTTAGTCTCCGAGATCTATAACCATTCTATTACCATCCATTCTATATGACAAGAAACTCCATGATATGCAAGGAATGAAAACACAAAGGAAAAATTCTACACCCCAACGATCCGCTTGTCCTTGGGTTTCTTAGGATACCTCATATGGAAGTCTTGAAGGGCTTCTTCAGCATTCTTCTTAAGATGCTCCCAAGGTTCCCATGTAGCATCCTCGTTCTCATAACCTTCCCACAGCACTAGGTATTCCACTCGTCTCCTCTTCTTATTGACCCGGCTATCAGCTACCTCTCGGACAACCCAGTTCTGTTCTCCTTCAATCTCTTCGGGTTCCGGTAGTGGAACTCTCCTCTCAGGATCTATCGGTGCTCTATAGGGTTCTAGGAGAGAGACATGGAAGACCGGGTGGATTCCCATTTGAGGGGGAAGAGAGAGCTTGTAGGCACGGGTACCAATAGCTTCTAAGACCTTAAAAGGTCCCATCTTCTTCTGATCCAATTTTCCCAAAGGCCGCTTTGTTTGCACATTGCGCCGGTCCAACATAACTTCATCTCCGGGCTTGATTTCAGGCGGTGCCAGGGCATGAGCATCATACCACCGGGCCATCCTTAATCTAGCTTTACCCAGGCTGGCATTCATAGCCTGCCAGATAGATTCCCATTGAGATATCATGACCTCGCTCGCTGGGTTGTTCCATTCTACTCCTTCCTTTGGGGCCGGCCAGTTGGTCCTGGGTTCATAACCATAGTTGGCATAAAAAGCCGATACTTTGGTAGACTCAGAAACCGCCGAGTTATAAGCATACTCTGCCAAAGGCAAGAGTTCTGCCCAGTCATCCTGTTGATACGAACAATAACTCCGCAAGTAATGTTCCAGGGTCTGGTTAACTCTTTCTGTTTGACCGTCCGTTTGGGGGTGGAAAGAATTGGACATCTTCAGCTTCACATTGAGGAGGCTCATGAGAGATTGCCAAAAGTGAGAGATGAACCTGCTATCTCTGTCCGAGACTATGTCATCAGGTAAACCATGGAGTCTCCAAACTTCCTTCAAGAACAACTTAGCCAAATCTTCCGTTTTATTGAGGGTAGGAAGAGGGATGTAGTGTGCCATCTTCGAAAAACGGTCCACTATTACCCAGATCTTTGTAAACCCACTAGATTCCGGTAATCCCACAATGAAGTCCATAGAGATGGAAGTCCATGGCCGATAGGGTATCTCCAACGGTTGGAGCATACCAAACTTCTTGTGTCTTGAGGTCTTATTCCTCTGGCAGCTGTCGCAGCTCCGGACATATTCCTCAACATCCTTATCCATGTTGGGCCAAAAGAAGTTATTTTTCACCCGCTCTAGTGTCTTAAATTGGCCAAAATGACCAGCCACTTTAGAGTCATGGGTATCGGACAGTATTTCCATCTGTAGCTTCTTGTCTTTGGGTATATACCATCTATTCTTGTAGAAGATGAGACCGTTCTTGACCGACAAGTTCTGGTCCAAATTTGGTTTCCTTTCAACCAGGGAGCGGTGCAGTTCCTGCCAGAAACTATCCTCTTTAGCAGCCACATATAGGCGCTCTAAGAATGTATTCTGCAATTGATTCACCCTGACAGCCGCTAGCTTTGCAGGATCCAAAACCAATTGACCTGGCCTAAAAAAGATCTGTGGCTCCGGCTGCAGAGTTTCACCTCCCTCTCCAAGGCGGTGATCCCAGCGCCTAGATAGCACATCAGTCTTGCCATTCTTTTCTCCCGGTCTGTAGACAACTTTAAAATTGTAGCCTGCGAGGTCTTCAGACCATCTAGCTTGCCGCCTAGTGAGAACCTTGGTAGAATTAAAATACTCCAAGTTCTTGTGGTCTGTAAAAACCGTGATTTCCTGCTCGCAAGATTTGAGCATGTGTTCCCATTCCCGGAAAGAGGCTACAATAGCTCCCATTTCCTTATCATGAATGTCATAGTTGATCTCAGCAGGGGAGAACTTCTTAGAGTAGAATGCCACCGGATGTAGCTTTCCATCATCCCCATACTGAGAGAGCACCGCTCCCTTGGCAAAATCACTGGCATCTGTCTCGACCACTGTTCTCCTACTAGGGTCAAAATGAAGAAGAATTGGCGCGCTTGTGAACAGCCTCTTGAGTTCTTCAAAGGCCTGCTCATGTGCTGCCGTCCAATACCATTTCTTGTCTTTTTGCAGGAGGTCAGTGTGAGGGATGCGTACCAGATCACAAGAGTACACTACGCAGAGCTCAGAGTTCGGCTAACAGCTACAAAGGTAGAAGTCTCCAAGGTCTCTTCAGTCAACGTCGAGTATAAATCTCCTTGATCCGATACGGGCCCCGCGAGCTACGTTATCAACAAAGATTCACTAGAGTTAGCGTATGATGCTTCGACCGTCTTCGACGTAATAGTTCAGGTAGAGTTCGAAGTCACGATAGAGTAAAGTATTTCCAAAAGTATAGTCAAATAAAGTTGTAACTCGCGTATCAACGATTTATATTGTTAAGACTCTGATTTCGCCGATGATGGTCTGGCTAGTCAGTGAATGACACAGTATTTATATCCCTCGCTTATGTCTCGAGGACCCAGTCTACTAATAATACAGAATACACTCGGGGCCTGCCCGAGACCCTGAAAAACAACCAAGAACATTTAACTCCTAAGTCCATAACCCAAACTCCTAAACCCGCTAAAACCCCTCAACCTATTTACCCACTCTAATGCACGTTTCCCTGTCGATGTTTTTTCTCCATCGGCCGTCTGGTGGATAATCGTCAGCGTCGGCTACTCGTAGGTCTCGGACGGCAAGGCTACCTACTCAGGCCTCTTCCCACATCGCTTTCCCACATAGCAGAGTCCTCTCATGCCCATAGGTACCGCCGATAGGTACTCGGTCGGCTGGTGGCTTGCGCCGATTCGCTCCGAGTGATCCGATCTTCGATCCGATTGCTTCCAGCTGTCTCTCATATATCCACCGGTACCAAAGCACTCCCCTCCGGCGGTTTGACGCTCCAGGGGTTATTATTAGGGTCGAAAACGTGTTTTTTATGACTCCGTGTTTTGGTCGTATTTTGGTCGCACCACACCCCGCGGGTGCGGTCCAGAGTTGACGTTAGCGTGCAGAGGGTAATGGGGTATCTACTAGCCTTTTCTCGTAAATGCTTGGCATGCCCGTAACAGCTTACCCCCCTTCCAGGGTGTCACGTCTCGGGACATCTTCTGACAGACTATGGTTCCAGTAAACCTGCTCCACATATCACCCGCGGTGTCTGTGGAGGGGAAGGACTTAGCCCCGTAGGGTACCTCTATAGTCTCAGGCGTTGGTCCTTCACGGCCTTGGGGTTCCTTCGATGAAAATCGCGGACTAGGTCAAGTACCTCCTCATTCATAGCGTCCATGACTTGGTACGTGCAGTCGCTCATCGAATAGCCCCGCCATTTCACCAGGTATTCCACTAATCCTCTTCTACTTTTCCGGCTTCCCACAATACTTTCCACTTCGTACAGGACCTCTCCTTCCTTATCGACATCTTCGGGAGTTGGGGGACGTTGTTCACGGCCTGGGATACTGCTCTGTCGGTAACGTTCCAAGAGTTCAATATGGAAAACGTTATGGATTTTGACTTGCGGTGGCAGTTCCAATTCGCAGGCTCGTTTACCGGCTAGTCGGACAATTTTAAATGG